TCAAAGCTTTCTACCAGCACAACAATGGCTTTTCATAAGAGCACAGACTTCGGGCTGACTAGATAAAGTTAATTCCATCATTTCCTCATTTTGGAATTCTGACTTCATATTCTTCTACTACAAAACATGGCATACAAAGATGGAGTAAAGGCAAAATGAATTAATTGCCCGCTGTAATTACTTTTGTACACTGCCCTATGTACTTACTATTTATTTAAAAGTTTAATGGAAGAACGAGTGCCAGACTTGGCAGTTCCCTAAAGAAAGAGATTTGAATAATGACTCTTTTACAGAGGAACCGATTAGAGAGTCCAAGAGAGAAGATATAATCCTTGACTTGGTCCTGAACGGTACACAGGACCTAGTCCAAACGCTACAGTTGAAGAGCACTGTAGTGTACTTAAATTCAACATGCTTGCAGAAATATCAAGAGCCAAAAAAAGCCTCTATTTCTTGTGCCCAAAAGGGTTCTCAAGCAAAAATGATGAAGTGTGTCAGAAAAGAAAGGAGCAACAAAATAAAATAAAATCATTACACACAGCAGAGAGAATATTAAAGGATATCAGAGTGGAAGCACAGAGCAAATGTATCCCCCTTACTAAGAAAGACGTTAGAAAGAGGGAGGACTTGAATAATCAAAGCCAGCCTGGCTCAGTGGCAGGATAAAGAAAGTTATTACAAGCCATCTTTCAACAAAAGTCATGATCAAAAAACCCCTAAATCGATAGGATCTTAAGCTCTGGAAGGCTAAACGCGTACGCACAGGACAAAAAAGAGTATGAAGGCTAGCAAGCAAAAGGTACCATAAATAAAATTCCTGAAATATATCGGGAGCAGAAAGCCTCCCAGAGATTCTGTAGGATCAACAGATGACTAGGCTGTAAAAGAAGCATTCAGGGAAGATAAGACACCAACAGAAAAAACTAAACGACTGCGTCTGGGTCCACATGGTAGAGTCTCTCCAGACTCCACCACCAGACTTTCTTCATCACATGGGATCTCTTGGGAAGATTGCTTAGATCTTGACGCCTACAGAAGAGATTTTCATACAAACAGGCAGAAGAACTGGGGAATTATATATAAGTAAATTTGACATCTGTATTAGTCAGATTAGCAGAAATTATAAACAACAGAGTTAGTGTACATGTAGATAATACAAGATTCTAATGAAGACTCAACAAAGACTTTGAAAAGAGAAGTCCTAATTCATAAACTTAGTCTCAGACCATAAACATGCCAGAGGACAGGATTACAACTGATAATACCCTTTAAAATCAAAAGATGACTTGGAAACAACAGGATGCAGCTTCATTAACAACAGATGCCAAGTCCTTTCCAGACCTATAGCCTATGATTTTTATACTGCGACCACTGAGGAAGTATAAGTTAATTTGAGGAACTGTATTTGTCAATGAACAAAACTTCATCTGAGTTACAAAAAAAAAAAAAAAAAAGCTTCAGAATTGCCAAAAGAACACCACATATTTGTGCAATTCCCTAATACATCCTCACCCTTTGCTAACTTGAAAATTTTCCTTGAAATTATCCAGAAATCCTACTTAAAACACTGCATATGCATAGACAGATGCTACAGAACACCCACATTTCCTCCTGGAAAGTCCTTAGCAGAGATACCAACCAGGCATGTTATCATCTCCTAACTCAAACACCCTCTTTTGGAAACATCTCATTCATGTTTCTACAACAAGCTGTTCCTGGGTAGCTTTTGAAACCCAAGAATGAGCAGTGACGGTATGGAAATCATGTTTGCATTACCATGTGTTAACATAATAAAAGCTGATATAATTCTGTCACTTTATAAAGTTTGACATAAAGTGTATCTAAAACTGATAAACTCCAAAACTGTCGGTGGAAAAACAGGCATGAAGAAAAAAAAAAAACGTGCCCTGCAGAAAATGCTTGCACAATCCAAGTCTTTTGCTACTTACTTTTCTAACGTTCTGGAATCTCCTGTATACTCTGGAAGATCATTTAAGTCTTGGGGTGAAGCAGAAATCTGTTCTGAACTTATTTTTAATGCGTGACCATTCTTTCCTATCACTTCAAGTCCAGTCAGTCCAAGGTAATGAGAGTCTCCCCAGGTCATGGTAATGTTCAGTTGCAGGCCTGTATAAGAGAATAGACAATTAATGAGTCTATATATGCTTACTAGTTTGACGTAAGGAGCTAATACAAGCGTGCACGCAAGCCCCAATGATGAGCAGTACGTGCATTTCTATGCTGTATTTGGATACTTCCTGGTCTGCGTGCCCACCCCCATGGAATAGCATCGGATCTTCTGTCAGCCTGTGTTAGACCCCTCCAGTGGGCTGCCAACATCTTGTTCATTCATAGCTACACAACTCCTGATAGAGCATGTCATCAAGTATCTCATTACGTAGATTGTAGACTGACAGTAACTCAACGATACATTTCAGCAGTTACATGACAGATTTTGTGATTATGCAGCGACAGAGAAGACCTATTAGTCTGAAGTCCATCTATCATCTTTTGCCAGCTAAATGACTACATAGACTCATATAAATCCAGTCTCTTATAAATCCATAAATTGTTAGAAAACAACTCATAGTTAAACCAAAAAACAGATTTGGTTTACTAGCGTGTTTAAGTTACTACCTTCGTATCAGAACTGGACACGTGGAGGTATTTTAATGGGACAGCATTAGTGAAAAGCAGCAACATTGATTAGCCTGCAGCTCCAGAAAATAAATAGGAAGGAAAAATAGGGCAGACAAAAGACTGTAGGTGTATTTTCAGATCCACCTGTTTCATGCCTTACTGAAAAAATATAAATAGCATATACAGATATAACAAGTAACATTCCAATCTGATCAGGTTCCATAAAAATCCATCACTCTAAATGAAAAATATCTTTCATTTCACACATTACAGAAGCCCAGAAATAATCAGGTTGGATAACATCTAAAGAAGCACCAGCAGGCATGATGCCCTATAAAACAAACAAGCATTAAAGCTGTTAAGTCATCCAGCCCAATTACCTATAAATAGCTGCAGCAATTTACACGAGACCAAGTCTTGATATATCCATAAATTCACTTGGGTGTAAGATCTCTTTAGCATTTGCAAGGACACTAAGAAATAAATAGTTCTATTAGCTGAGAAGTTTGGAGCCATGGCTACATTGATACTAGATGCTCTTCCCAAGGCCATTGCTAAGACTAAGCTTGCTTGGTCTACAAGCATGCAAGAGTTCTCAGGCAAGACCAGAGCATATTTTCAAACAAAAGGGAAAAGACAGGGTGAAGCTGCTGTCCACATCACCATGCCAATGCCTTCACAGAATCTCAGAGTGACGCAGGGTGGAAGGGACCTCTGGAGGTCTCTAGTCCAGCTCCAAGCTCAGAGCATGTCCACTAGATCAGGTCTCTCAGGAGCTCATCCAGTGGAGATCTGAATGTCTCCAAGGCTGGCAGATTTCAAAACCTCATTCAACCCCTGCTCCAGTGTTTGACTGCCCTCAGGGTGAAAAAGATTTCCTCGTATCCTGTTGGAAATTCTTCTACCTTGTTTCTGCTGCCTCTCAACCCAACCCTACGTCCATCCCTGAGAACAGCCTGGATCTGTCCTCTCTATGCCCTCCTGATAGCTACAGACAGCAAGAAGATCTCCCCTTCCCCTTCTCTTTTCCAGGACGAACAAACTAACCCAGCGCTCTCTTTTCTCACACGCCAGGTACTCCAGCTGCCTGACCATCTTGGCCACCCTCCTCCACTGGACTCACACAGTCCTTGTCGCTCCATCCCTAACACCTTGTTAGCTCCATCCCTAACACCATACTCCAAACACAGTCTCGCAAGTGCCGAAGACAGAGAGAGAATCCCTTTCCTGCCCTGCTGGCTGCACTCTTATTTTTCCACCCCAGGAGGCAGCTGGCTGCAAGGCTGTGCTGCTGACACTTGTTCAACTTGTGGGCTCACAGGGACTTCAGGCCCTGCAGTGCAAAGCCGCTTTCTCAGCTAGCTGGCCCCAGCCTCTCCTGTGGCATGGGTTATTATGTCCCACATGCAGGTCTTTGCATTTGCCCTGAACTTCCTGAGGTCACATTAGGTAGCACCACGAGGTTACCATTTCTTCAGCCTGTTGAGGTGCTTCTGAAGAACAGCCTTGCCCTCCAGCATATCAGCCATTCCCCTCTGCTTGGTATCATCCACAACCTTGCTGAGATTGCTCTTTATCTCATCACCCAAGTTCTTTAAAAAAAACCACATTAATCCGTGTAGACTATAGTATTGATCCCTAAGAGACACATCTAGTAAGCAGCCACCAGCTGGACTTTGTATCATCACACTTTGAGGCGCTGTTTCTCCTTGACATTGTGACTGGTAGCAAGACAAAAGAGATGAAAACTATCTATAACAAGCCAAGGATACAGATCCTCAGTGACCCCATGCACAATTTATTATCCAGAGTCCCAGATGAAAAAGGCAGTACTGATCCCAACATTTGCACAATTCCCAGGAATTTCCCAAAATGAGAAAAAGCAAGAGGACTCTCACTCCAGGTCTAAGGGACCACTGCACAGCATAAAGAGAACAAGGAACGATACACACAGGCAGGACAGGGAACAGAGAAATCACTGGCAAAAATGAGGTTGTAGAGAATTAAGGGACAGGGTGGTATGGGT